AGATGGGGAGAGAAGAATACAATGGAAGAGGACACTGATTAAGAAGCATTGTGCTCAAAAATTTACATGTTGAATTTAAACCCCTAGTACAACTATTTGAAGCTAATATAACAATAACAACAAGGATCACAATTCAGGAGGGTAGGAATAAAAATGTGAGATACTAATGGAGAAACTACAGCAAAACGGCTGGAGGTGTTCTTCAAGTGGTAGAAAGCTTGCTTAGCAAGTACACTGACCTGAGTTCAACCCCAGTACCACACACATACCCACACGAACACACAAAAATATTGTTTGTAGAACTTCTAATCCTAAGGCTCACTCAGATAATTTTAAGCAGATGAAGTAAAAACACAAGAAGACAATGTAAATAGGAAGGAAAAATATAGCAGTGGTATGTGGCAGTATGCTACATATGCTTTAAAGTCTTTGAACAGAAAAGAAACAAAATTAGAAATTCTGACCTATATTTGGTCAATTAAGTTACTATAGAAGAGGTATAGATACTCTATACCAAAATACATTTTAATTAAAGATAGATTCAATAAACCTTGCTTTCCGTTATCAAAAACAAAGAGCTAGGATTTATTTAAAAGAGGGACAGGTAGGAAATCTTTATTAGTTCAGTGGGAAAGACCTACTGATCTTCAAGACCTGTTTTAAACCCACCTCCATTCCAACTCAATAGTTCTCAAGAATTCAATGAAGAAATTTGTGAAGAGTAAAACCACCTACTAAGTAATTTCAAGACCTACGTTTTGAAGTATCATAATTAATCACTCTTTAATTTTTAAAATTACATTTTTCCTGAGGCTTTTGTAAAGCAATTAATGTCAACATCTCAAGCAGGCTTGAGAAATAATCTGTAAGGCTATGAAGTAAGTGTCTGTAGTGCATGTACATATTATATAATGACCATGGAATCTAACATTTTAGTAATGAATTCATGCTGATAATAAAGGAGATGTACAAAGACAGTTATTCAAAAGAATATGAACACTGAGCATTTGTTTTTCTTTGGGGGCCAGTATTAATTTTTTAATCATACAATCGCAGAATAACAGAATAATAGAATGTCTATAGTGTTATCATAAAACAGTTCCATGAAACATATCCTAGTCATACTGCAATCTCATGAGAGTTCAGAGAAAAAAAAATCATATATGACAAAGATCAAGTCAAAGTCACTTCCTCCTTGCTCCACACAAATTGTATGAGGCAGTCAGTAAGACTGTTGTGTTTTACCTCTGAGCAAAAATAACTGCAGACATGATTTCAGGATTTCTGTACAAAGGGAGGGAATGAAGCAATTAGTTGGAATGCTAGGGGCAAAATGAGTGGGTGCCCTCATCCTAATGCCAACTCAAAGGCTAGGAGCCAACCACTTGTTGTCATACTCGCCCTAATGAAGAGGAAAATGTGGGTTCTGCATACCAACATATATACATTTTAAGTGGCCCTATTGTAAAGGAGAAAAAGTAATGATTGTGAGGGTAAAATTAGAATTAATTTTGCTTAGATCCTGGAAAAACCTAAATTATTATCCCAGAAACATAATTTCTAATAAAAGAGCAGTAGGCAAAGAAGAGTCTGCCATAACAGAAACATCTTATTGAAGATGAGTGAAAAATCATATTGTTTAGAAAAAAATCTTTAAAATGATTACTGGCCAAGACGAAGTTATGTCATTCAGAAATGAAGAGATACTATATATTTTGTTTTACTACTAACACAATCTGCATGTGGAAGTTACAAAGATGAAACAACTCTAGGTGTACAGTCAACTTTTGTCCTCACAAAGCTCTCATAGTAAATAGATGATGCTAATGAAAGAAGGCTTTAGGAAAAAATGAATGGATAAATGAAAAGCCCTTCATTTAATAATTAATACCTCTTTACTTCAACTACTATCCATTTTTCTATTTTAACATGTAATATTTATTACAGGTTTCATTTATTTTATCTTTAGTTTTCACAATAAAGCAGAATTATTTGAAGTGGGGATGCTGAAGGATCAAACCTACTGTCTTGTATTTGCTCAAACCCACATACTACAATTGAGCTCTCCCCTCCAGGCTTTAAGCAGATTATTATTATTAATCATATTTTATACATAAGAAAGTTAGGGTCATGTTGAATGATATGGCACTGAGGTGGCAGAACCAGGGTTTTGTGTTTTTGTTGTTGTTGTTGTTTGTCAGTTGGGGGACCTTGGTACTGTCCCTCAGCTCTTTAGCTCAAGGCTAGTGCTCTAGCACCACTTCTGGCTTTTTCTGCTTATGTGGTACTGAGGAATTAAATCCAGGGCTTCATACATGTGAGCTAAACACTCTACCACTGAGCCACCTTCCTAGCCCCAGAGCCAGGGTTTTACCTCAGAACTGTCTATGTCCATCCTACCTCCAAGCAATTCATGATTCTTGCTGGGTTGAGAACATAAGCTCTGTACCTATTATCTAAACAAAACCAATACTTCAGACCACATACAATGGCATATGCCTATCAGCCTAGCACTGAAGATGCTAAGGAATGTAGCCTTGGGTACACAAGTGAGGCTTTACTTTCATACCATATACATATACCATGACCACACACACACATATACCACACACACACACATATACTCCCTCAGGGAAATGAAAAATATCTGGGAAATGTAATGGGCTAGATTTTGTGCCCTCAAATTTAAATACTAAAGCCATATTCCTCCTATCTCCGAATGTAACTATCTTTCATGTCAGGATCTTTACAGTCGATGGAAGTTAAAATAAGATACCCCCCAAAAAGGCAGGTGGAAGTTCTTTCCAAACACCACTGGAATCTCCAATCAAACTATATAACCTCCAATCAAACTATATTTTACCCTCCAATCAAACTATATAACCAAGTCAGAAACAAAGGCTAATGGCTGAGCTTATTTGTTTGGAGTGAGAGAGAGAGAGTCTCATTTGTTAACTTGATGGAGGTATGCTTCTTCAAGCAATAAGAGACAAGATTAAGGTAGATTCTACTAATTCCCCCTGCCCAGACCTGATCCCTTGTGCTGTTCCTTGTGGGTAGGTCTTTCTCTAGATCCTTAACCTATGTTGATATGCAAACTGCTGTCTACCCATACAACATTTCTGTGTGTTTTATATGAAAACTTCATCAGGAGGGAAGAGGTGACATTGTCCAAGAAGAAATGTATTGTTTACCTGACTGATATAACTGTAATCCCTCTGTATATCACCTTTATAATAATATTAAAAAATTAAAAAAATAAAGGGGCTGGGAAGGTGGCTCCGTGGTAGAGCACTTGCCTTACATGCCTGAGGCCCTGGGTTCGATTCCTCAGAACCACATAAGCAAAAAGAAAAAAGCCAGAAGTGGCACTGTGGCTCAAGTGGTAGAGCGCTAGCCTTGAGCTGAAGAGCTGAGGGACAGTGCCCTGGCCCAGAGTTCAGGCCCCACGACCAGACCCAAAATAAATAAATAAAATAAAATAAAATAAAAAATTTAAAAAATAAGACCTCCAGGATGGGTTTCAGTCCAGGTAGCAACAAAAAAATAAAAGGGCACAGGAAGATTGCTTGAGTATGTGCCCAGAGAAGAAAAATTATGTCAAGGTGGGCATCTGAAAACCAGAAAGTCAGCTCTCAGGATAAAATCAGCCCTGCTGACAACAGGACCTTGGACTTCTATATCACCAAACAGTGTGAAAATGAAATTCTGTTGTTTATGTCACAGAGTATATAGTATTTTGACATGGAAGCAAATTAGCATAAGAGAAACACAGAAATCATCTAATCTAGCAACCCATGTAGACTGTAAATGTAACAGCAGCTTATTTGCTGTACAGGAGTGGGTGAAAAAGTTCTTACAGACTCTAGTCTTGTTAATGAAGCAGAACATAATTCTATACTTGAAGGATATGGGATTCTGTGTCACCCAAGCACACTCCTTCCAGTATTTCTTTTTATACTTTCTCTCAGAAAAACATGGCTGGAAGTTCCTCACAACTCTTAACACACATGCCCTAACAAGCAAGGTACATGATAAATTGAAAGAATTTCAAGACATGGCCCAGTGTTATTACCTCAGATCTTGCTAGAATAACATGACATTTATAAAAAATACAACCCACTGGATGTTTGGCACTACTTGGGAATGAAGAATATGTCCACTTAAGAGCCAATACCCCAGGCTGTCAAAAAAATCTCAAGCCAGGGTTTCTTTTATAAACATTTTCTATCGTTTAAAATTTTACAGTCTAGGAGGTAAAGAAAAATCTGCTTATTTCCAAGTCTCCTTTTGCCTGAACACAATAAACACAAACCATACACAGTAATACATAGTATGTTCAGGCAAAGCATGTTGGTAGCAAAGCCCTGTGCACCTGGCAAAGAATCTCGACAGTTACATCCTTCACTTAAGCCCCCCTTAGCCCCACAACATCTACAAAGAGAGCACACTCCACCAACACTGACCGCCTCTAATTTAGGGCATACTGAAAGGGAGTATTTACAGATTACTTTTTCAGATACCAGCAAACAATGTTCCTGTTCACTCTCTAACCCGCCCCCCCTGCTTAGACCATACAAAATTTTTAACATCTGGAAGGATAAACTCAGCCCCTAGCACATATGACAAGGGTGTGCAGTCATCGAGGAGCTCTCAGCAAGGAGAATTTGCCAGCTTCCTTCTGAGGGCCTGGCCCTGAAAGGCCAACAGTGGTATGTTTGAGTTTCCATCAGGCCTGGTGCTTGCTGGCTGCTGCTTGCTCAGTAAGAACCCCACAGACCAACTGTCCTATAAACATCTAGCCCTTCTGCTGAGAGCGGCCTGCCTAGCCTTCCTTTTTGGAGCTGAGAATATGCTGTTTGAGAGCCGCAGGCTCAATGTTAACTAACACTTGGAGTACAGCTGACCGCTCTCTTCTCCAGGCCAGTGACTGCTCTTAAAAAAACACACATTCACAGGAACATAACAAGAACAGGAAGAGGAGCCCAGATTTTCCTCACCATGTGCCACCCAGCCATGTTTACACTGATCGCAAGTCCTCAGGTTAATCTTCCCTGGCTGAAAACATTCACACGTGCAGTTTACCAGTGTGCAACGGATGGCCTGAAAAATAAAGAAGGAGGAAAGATCAGCATCTGTTCAGAGGTATTCTGCTTTTTAACCATTTAAAATAAATAATGCCCATTTAATTTTGCAAGGCTTTTTATATTGGTAGAGGCTACATAATTTTGAAAACAAATTTTGATATCATGAAAATCTCTTACAGGTCTAGGAATGTGGCTTAATGGTAGGGTGCTTGGCTAGCATGCATTGAGGCCCTGGATCAGATTCCTAGGAACCACATAAGCAAAAATAAATAAATAAAATAAAATTTAACAAAAACTCTTTTAAAAAAGAAAACAAAGCTTATTCATTGACATAAGATTTTAAATCATTCATAATAACATTAAATGGATGATTACATATTCTACAAGTAATAATGGGTTTGTAACAGCAGAAATTAAAAGGTGAAAAACAATATTGCTACTGATATTTTCATTTGTTTCTCTTTCAAAGGAACACAAACAACAACAAAAATACATCCTAAGAAGATAATTTTCAAGTAAAATGTGAAAGAAAAACATGGCAAATATTATTAGAATAATCCCATTTGCTGTGTACATACTTTGCTAATCTTTCTGATGGATTTTAAAATATACTCCTGTGTATACAATACAAAATAGCCAATTTCTGTAATCATCTGTCACTTCCTAAATCCTTGAGTTTTTTTCTCTTTTACTTACTGATTCTCTTTTCTTTCTTTTTTTTTTTTTTGGGTCCGGTCTTGGGGCCTGAACTCTGGGCTGGGCGCTGTCCCTCAGCTCTTCAGCTCAAGGCTAGCGCTCTACCACTTGAGCCACAGCGCCACTTCTGGCTTTTTTCTTTTTGCTTATGTGGTGCTGAGGAATCGAACCCAGGGCCTCAGGCATGCAAGGCAAGCGCTCTACCACTGAGCCACCTTCCCAGCCCCTGATTTTATTTTCTTTACAATTTTGAAAAAAATGAAGCAATCCTTTTATTTTGTTTTTGTTTTTTTGTTGGTTATGGGGTCTGAACTCTGGGCCTGGGCGCTGACAGTGAGCTGATTTTCAGCTCAAGGCTAGCACTCTGCCACCTGAGCCACATCACCACTTCCAGCTTTTTCTGCTTATGTGGTGCTGAGGAATCAAACCCAGGACCTCATACAAGGCAAGGCAAGCACTCTACCACTGAGCCACCTTCCCAGCCCTCCTTTTATTTTAATAGTGATGTAAGGAAATAACTTAAATGCTTTTAGACCAGATATAATACGTGACATTTATATGAATATTTTATACCTGAAATAGTATATCTTAGAAAACCGATATATACACTCGAAAAAAATCTTTCATTTCCTCACAATTACTTTAAAAGATCACCTCACTAGTTTATGAACCCATAGAAAATTAACATAAGTTGAATATAACTTTTCATGGATTAAAAAAAAATATCTATGCTTAAGCTTTGTTCTACAGCTGGCCTGTGCTCCTGAAGTACAGTTAATAAAATTGTCTCACACATTTAAGTTCTACTTTGTATGGAAATTCTGAAGACAGAAGATATTCTATCTGATGATTCATAGATTAATAATCTACTCCAACTACCTGAACTGCCAGAAAAACATCGCTCTAGATATTACTGATCTGGAGGTGAGGGATGGCTTAGTTGAGTGGGGAAACTGAAGTTCTGCACTACACTTACATGCTCCAGAAGCCCACATACCTGGGACTCTCGAGTTTTATATAAATCATCTCACAGGAAATAGTTTAGGTATTGTTAACATGGTTGGGACAGACTCAATTTACAGAGACTGAGACTTAATGAGCTTCTACTGTTCTCCGTGTTCTTGATCACAAATTTAAAGTAGTTTTCTTTCACTAATTAATTCTACTGGGTGTCTGTTTGGTTTTGTGTGTTGGAGTCCTCACTATAAATTCCTGTGGTACTCCCTCCTACCCCTCATTTGCCTGTCTGTTCACCTCTAGGGAGACCCTCAACTGTATAATATGCTCGCTATTTCTGGGACCTCTCTTCCATTGTCAACTGTTCAATTATATATCAGCTAAATTGCAACATTTTTGTTTTGTGTTTTAGTTATTAAAGGAGTATGAACTTTACAACTTGGGGGGAGGAATGAGAAGGGGAGGGGAAGGAAGGGATAGTAGGAGAAAAACAAAGGGGGGGGGGGTAACAGTGCTTGATAAGAAATGTACTCATAACTGTAACCACTCTTTACAATAAAATAAAATTTTAAAATAGGAATACATGAGTTATAAGGAGTTATAAGGAGATTTTTCTTCTGAAACTTATTTCAATTTCCATAACTTATTGACTGAACAATCCATCAGAACATACTGGTTTAGAAATAGTTTCTTTACACACCGTGATTATTAAAACTAACTCATCTGACTTTATGATGATGCAAATGAATAAGGAGTTTATTATACAATATTTCCACTAAAAACAAGATGCTTTGTAAACTATCCAATGATGTATTCAGATTTGGGAACTATATTAATATTAAAACATTTAAAGACTAGTTACAGAAACTTTCATAAAGGATTTTTTCAATGTTTTACAAAAATAAAAGAAGATGTAATTTAAATTTTCATATATTACCTTTAGTTCTAGTATAATAAGTCATTTCAAACCATTAATTTGGTGTTATTAATTATACTATAAAAGTTCTAATTTTGTATTATGTGTATAGCACACCTTCAGCTTTAATGTTAGCTATATTCAAGACTAGTACAAATTAAGACTAGAGATTTCATATGTACCTGATGTGTATATTATATATATGTTTACTGTATTTATATATATATATATATATATAAATACATATAAAATACATTTTTGTTATTGGCTAAATCACTAATTACTCTAAATTAGTTTATGATTCATGTATTTTCCTAAATATATCATCTGGTACATATGGGAGTTAAACTTTTCAGATTATTATTCCTTTTTTATAAATTCTGCTCCTTTTGTACCTAAACATACAGACACTGGAACACCTCAAATCCTTCTATATATAAACACACAAGCACTAGAATAGCCAATTTGTACCTCTATAAATTCCAGAAAGTCTATGTTTTAAGATTTATAAAGGATATGGTTGTTCCTTAAGGAAAATATATGTGTGTGTGTGTGTGTGTGTGTGTGTGTATATATATGTATATATATATATACATATATATATATACATATATATTTAAACAATATTCTCTAAGTAAACATTTTGAGTAAAAAAACTATTGTGGCATCAAAGAAAGTTTTATTTTAAATAGCATTTTGGAAATGACACACTATTTATTCACAACAAAACAGAACCAAAGTGATCACTTGCCAACTCACCCACATTTTAAAAACATAAATTATCATAAAACTATCAAAGCTCGTTAAGCCTCAAAGACATACATGTGTGTCAAGGAGACAGCTGAAAAGAGCATAAAGAGAAGAGTTTTATTCTTGTGAGGATTTCAATTCACCCTGCCCTTCAGCTAAAGTCTGAGTACTTTCTATTCACAGAGAGGCATTCTGAACAAGACCAAGGTCTATTTATTTCCCTGTCTGAACTACAAGCTCTGGAATTTTGGAGATGAGGAAAAAAGCAGATAATTCAGTCAATTGCTCCCACCTTTCTTTGCAGAAAGCAGCATTCTGGCTAGCTAATGCAGAGATCCATGACCCTATGTCATCAAGCCTGCCAGGGAACTCTCCCTCAATTCTTTCTTGATCACTCTCCCAACTCCTTAAGAATGAGAACAAATGTTCTTAATCTGAAGTTTATTAAAAGCAAAAGTACAACTTTTGTATACATACTTAAAGGGAATAAAATATATTAAAAAATAAAAATAACTATTCTTTCCTCTTACCTTTACCATGCATTTTTCCCATGCACTCAGCAACAATCCCTCCACTTCCTCATTACCACCTACATTTCATTTCTGTAATCTGACTCTACTCCATACATTCCTCAAACTGTGCTTCTTTAAGAGGCAAAGTTTTCATCATATCTGGATCCCTTTTTGCTAGTCTTCTCATCCTCTCATCACAAGTTAGTGCCACAAGCAGAGTTACCTTCATTCCTGAATGGGAGTGACTGACTATCCTAGTCTTTCTGGCAACAACTTCTCACTCTCTCTCCACTGTAAATAAATATAGGTGTTTCCCAAAGCCAAGCTCTTCATTCTTAATTTGTTACTTTCATCCTCTCCTACAGCTTCCAATATCATCACAAAGCAAAACTCATCACTTTGGAGCCAGACACTGTGTGTGTTTAGTGGCAGGAAATGAAAATGACAGTAGCAATGACACTGCAACTATGTCAAAAAGACAAGGAATGATGAATGTGAAGCATGTGGTACTCTGCCTGGAAACAGTATAAAATCAGATTTAGAGCCTTGAGAAACTTTCCATGGATTATATTTGAATAATAATTTTTCCTTATGATCCTTCCCAGTGTTTTAAGTTTCACTCATACCTTGTAAAATGCTTAATGTCTATTTAGTCTTAATGAATAAGTAACCACTTTGACATACATAATGCCATATTATTCATGTTATAATCCTCTAAGATGATCAGAAAGATTACTATTTTTATTTTAATGCTCTTAAATGATATAATAGAGAGGAAGACAAGTCTCTCTGTTACTACTCAGTTTATTTCTATCACCTTTCGGAAAATGAAAGTAGCATACAATTAATATGTCATAAACATTAACATTCAAGAGTATATAAAAATGAAGCATGAAATATATACTTGTAGACCCATCTACTGGGAAGATTGAGGCAAAAGGGTATTATTTGAGTTCAAGAGTTCCAGAGCAGCATGAGCAACATAGCAAGGAAACCTATCTCAAAAGAAGAAAAAAAGGAAATCGAACTTACACACAGTAGGTTAACTTACTTTAGAAAAATCAAAGATTTTCAGTAATACTCTTCTACTTGCATAGTAAATAAGTATATTTGGAATTATTGCTGGATGTGTTTTAAATCTCTATTCAAATAGTGATAGGTAATTAAAATGGAAATCTCTAACTT